AAAAAAAAAAAAAAAAAAAAAAAAAAAAAAAAAAAAGAAACGCAGGGGGGGCTCGCGGTTCATCCCGTTTTTACTTGGGGAAACTTTTAAATAAACTGTGAAAGTGTGTCAGGTGCATAGCACAAAATAAAATTATATAGAGCCACCAGTGTGACGGGTTATATAGAAAATGTTCCCATACCTGCTTTGTAGCAAGGTTAGTATGCTGTCCCCGACGCACCCTGATTTTTCGTGTCCCCTGGGGTGATAGCCCATGTGAAGCTGTTGTAGTTAAATAAACCAGTAATCACTATGGATCATGTATTATATACATATATAATATTATGTGAACACTGAGGGGATGGCGCCTGCTCCCTTTCCTTTTTTTTTTTTTTTCCTTTACGCTGGCACGCTCTGTTAAAAGCGCCTATTTTTCCTTCGTTTGCGATACTGCGCAGCGGAGTGAAACCACGGGACAACTTTTTAACGTAACTTCTTATATACAGAACGCGCACGTTGCAAAGACATGTGTGTACGTGTATATACAACCATGTCACGCACATTCACATTTTCTTCTCTGGTCGGCATGACCATAAGGAATGAACAATTATTATTCCTTCCTTTTGTCTTGTTAGTATGCTAACTATATTGGGTTTCCGGTGGGGTGTGCGCCAGGCCATTCACAGGAGATGGCTGACGACTAGTTTTATGAGTGCGTCGCAATATGGTGGCTATTCGGTAAAAAATGGACAAAGTCGCACGAAAAGTGGAGCAAGACAAATAGGTTTAATCATATAAAGGTGCAACCACAAATAGTTTTAAACATATATAGATGTAATCGGAAATACGTGTAATCATAAATAGCTGTAATCACAAATAGGCAAATGACAAATAGGTCATCACAAGTGTTCAGACACGACCATGCGCAGTTGCCATTCTACTGTGTAAAACTGCAATATCACCAAAACTCACTACGCCCGGCCAAAGAAGGGAAAAACCATCCATCTTCCAGGCGTACCTGGCATGTAATTATAGAACAGGAGCGTAGAAACCCAGGAAGGAGCCACCTCCTTCCCTTCCCCTTCTGTCACCCCCTGTTATCCAGTCATCGAATAGTTAAGTACGCCCTGTTATTGCCTACAATGCTCTTTTTCCTTCTTTCCTTCCTCCCTACTACTCTTCCTACTACTGTCTTCTATTTCCCCTAAGTACTACGTTCCCCGGTTGCTCATGCTGTGTAGCTCTTGACATTCTTGGTTAAAGTACGCTTCCACTTGTCCTTGTTGTCCATAACACTTTTTCGCACTGTTTCCTTAGAACTAAGTATTAGATTTCTAAATGGTGTGGCCAGCACAAAATTTGCTCCCCCTTCACCAACTAATTTGCTGAAGGAATTTTCACATTTCTGTTCGTTGCACTCCAATTCAAACAGAAGTTCCCTCTTGCATTCTTCCCATAACTTTAACTTGTACTCCTCTGCCAAATTCTTGTCCTTCGCTATGCCATAAAACCACTTCTCCATGTACTTCATCATGTCATAGTACTTTCTCTCTAAGAATATCACGTGATAAAAAAATAAAACAAATGCCTTTTTTTTACTAAGCACAAGAGTAAAATTATTCCGCATGCTTAATATCTCCCTGTTCGTGTAATCCTTTGAAAGGTCATCCAAGGTGCAACCATATGGGAGCTTTGATTGATACTTTTTCAAGATACGATCTTTCCACTTAGGGTAAGTGGCCCCACAGTGTTGCACTGTATGGGCTTCCTGTTGTAACGAAGGCATTGCCGTTTCTTTTTTTCCTGGCTCTTTCACTTCCTCTTTTACTTCCTCCTTTACTTCTTCTTTTACTTCCTCTTTTACTTCCTTCTTTACTTCCTCTTTTACTGCTTCCTGTAGTGCCTCTTGTGGTCCTGAGCTCCCAGGTGCTTCCAGTTCGCCAGGTACTTCTGATTTCTCTGACTTCTCAACGGGCGCTGTTTCCTTGGAAGGATCTCCTGTGGGACTAGCGGGGCCTTTATTCTGTTCTGGTGTTTGCTTATCCGTTCCACTCTTCACTGTAGTTTCTGTAGGCTGCTTTTCCTTATTTTCACTTGGTGCCTTATCTTGTGAGGACGGTGGCAACGATCCTTCTGATGGAACCTTGGCGTCCGATTTTCTGAACATTTTACCTAAAGCCGTGTTTTTAAAGAAACCTCCACTAGAACTGCGCAATGATTTATTTTGTTCTGGTGTTTGCTTATTGGTTTCACCATTCACTGTAGTTTGTTTTGGCTCCTTTCCCTCTTTTTCGCCCTGTTCCTCATTTTGTGGGGATGGGGGCAACGATCCTTCTGATGGAACCTTAGGATCTGCTGATCCAGACTGTTCACTAGGCGCCGTGGTCTCATGAGAGGGGTCTCCACTGGAATTAACGGGGGTCTTATTCTGTTCGGGTGTTTTCAGGTCAGCGCCACCGTCCAGTGAAGATTCATCGGGCTTCTTTTCTGCTTTTTGGTCCTGTTCCTCATTGTGCGAGGACGGCAATGATCCCTCTGGTGTAACCTTAGGATCTGATTTTCTAAACATTTTAGTGAGCGGGGCGTTTTTGAGGAAACCTCCCATGGGACTAGCAGAGGTTTTATTTTGTTCTGGTGCCTGCATATCGACTTCACCCGTTAATAATCTACCTATCTTCACCCCTAAAGTGTCATTTTGGCTTGTTACGTGGTTCCATGATGAGCCTAGTTCAATTACCTAACATATAAAAAACGAGAAGGATACATTAAGAATTATACAGTACACAAGTATTAGTATAAAATCAATAAAAAAATGGAGAAAAGGGTTTTTTCATTCTCAGCACATAGGATAAACATTAGTAACAGTGGATGCGACAGTTATTAAAATGTAGTAACGGTTATCATACGTGGTTGAGACATTGCCAGGAGCCCAGAACAGAAAGGAGTATAACGGTTTTCGCACGGAATATCATTCTCTTTTTTTTCTTTTTTTTTTTTTTTTTTGCTTTCTTTTTTTTATTCGCCTTTTAACGATAAAGAACGTTTAAGGTAGCAAAATAGTTTTTATTTTATATATATACGGATTACATCATTATTCCTTTTTTTTTTGATACATATATATATTATGCAACGTATTTTTTGTTTGTTCTATGCAAGGATTATAGAATTGTTCTTTCTTTTTTTTAATTATATATGTACTTGTATAATTTATTTTATTTTTTTTTTTCTATATATGTATGGATTATGTGATTCTTTTTTTTTTTTTAATATATGCAAATATATTACAGAAATGGTTGCTTTTTTTGTTTTTTTTTTTTTTTTCTCATATGTGGTCATTACATGTTTCTGTTTTTTTTTTTTTTTTGCTTGTATGCGCATGTATTAGGATTGATCTAGTTTCTTTGTTTTTTATGCATGAGTGCATTATGGGATTATCTCCTCTTTTTTTTTGTTTTTTTTTTATATAATGGGCAAGGATTATATAACTGTTATTTTTTTATATATGTATAGATTATTATACGAATATGCTTCCTACTTTTTTATGCACAGGGGCATGCTCATTAGGTTCTTGGCGTATATGCGGCATTCATGTTTTTCTGTTCTAAGTGCCTATATATATTATTTGAAATAAAAAATAATATAAATGCGATTACATATAAAATAAATATAGTAATGCAGCAATAATATAAAAACATTGATTTTATTGCACAATATATAAAGTAATAGCGAATTGAGTGCTTGGTACTTTGTAAGACATATTTGCGCACTTTTTAATAAGGTCCAACTTTCAGACGTCGAATAAATGCGAATATTATTTATTTTGAAAAATAGCAAGTTCTATATATGTACTACAGCACTTTATTATTTTGAACATGCATATAATGATACAGAATAAGAGCATAAGGGAAGCTAACATCTTTTGTATTCAGGGTATGATGGAATTCTTTCCAGGCTTAAGGGGTTTTAGGTTTAAATATACTTTTCGGTTCAAAATGGTAGGGTATTTTATTTAAAATATTTTAATAATGTGTTCATCATATATAATATTGAAATATGTAAGGCATTTCACATGGTAAAATATAACATTGTTGAAAACACAAGTGCAAAAAAGTTGTACTGTAGAAAGTAATAATATGCAGAATGGTCATATATAGGAAATATGACATTGATTTGTTAACTGATTACTCATGTGTAGGGCACTTGCGTGAGGTTACTGAAGTAACCAGGGTGTTACGGAGTTTAAGTGAGTACCTTTGTTTCCACTTTTCTATTCATGTGGTATATAGGGGCCTACAGAATACCTGAGGATCTATATATAAGGAACCGTACAAAATTTTGTATTATATGATCGTTTCTTCTCATTTTTTCTTTTTGTGATAATAACATACATGGTGTGATACATCTTCGGACAAAAACTATATTGACACTGGAAATCAAGGTGTAGTAGGACCACCTAGATCCTTTAGTAAAACTGAGGTTTCAGGGAAGCCTGCGGCACCTGTGAGAACGACATGCGTCATGGCAACATCCATTATGGCACGGTTTGTCACGGATACAACTTATACACCCGCTCATCTTTTTTTTTGCGGTTTATCTCTAACGCTTCTCACATGTTGTGTAATAGTTCATTCACATATAATCCCGTATATCCATACATTCTACAACTCATGTACTCTCACACTCTTCACCGCTACTGCTACCGCTGCCATCGTGGCCGCGCATCGCTTGGCAAATGTACGTTCAGCGAAGTGGGACAGCGAATAGGACCGCACTGTGCTGTGCTGTTCGCGTGTGTGTGCGTTGTTGTGGTGGTGGCATCCATCAGCAGTCGTGCTTGCCGTAATTGTGTGCGTCTGTGTGTTCGTATTCGGGCGTATTCATATACGTACGCGTGTTCCTACGAACCGTGTTCTTACCTTCCAATTCCCTAATTTTCGAATCCACTACTTCCTTGGCCTTCTCAATTACCTTTGTTGCTGCCTTCACTACCTGCTGTTCCTTTTGCTTTACTTCAGTGATTTTCTTTTCGTCCACCTTGTCCGGGTTATCGTCCTTCCTCTATTTTTCTGTATAATCCTTCCACTTCGTATTACAGTCTGCCCCCCCTTCTATTTGCTCCATGCCTTCCAATATTTTGGTTTGCTGCAATAACCAGTTCACTATCTCCAGATTTACTGCGTCTACATGCTGTTTATTATGTCCATACGCACACATTGTGCACCTTCCGTCTACAACGGGCCCATCGATCTGTCCAATTCCTTTTGTTCCCGCGCTCTTCATCTGCTTGAATGCTATACCGGCATATTCTGTGCCTCTTCTCCACCTTTCCTGCTTTGGACAATACCTGTGTCTCAGTAAATGTCCAAATACATTCACTACTTCACACCTGAGCTGTTCGTACATCTCCTTATCTTTTGCATCCTCGTGCGTGTTATCCTTATCCGTTTTACTGTTGCCCCAGCCATTTGCAAAGCCTAATGCAAGAGTCATGAATCTGCATCGTACTACGTCCGCCACTTTTTGGTCCTCGAAATGAACCACACCTGTCGTTATATCATTCCAGCCCACATTGTACCAGTTTGCACCATATGCTTGCTCTTGGTCTTTGTATGTATCCATATATTTCTTAAAATCTTCCAACACTTTATGCAATTTTTGCAGATGGTCTTTCTGTATTATGTACATGAAAATAGAGGGATACATATGTTCACGTGTAATCCACATTCTCCCTTCCGGGGGCATTCACTCTCTTATATAGGCATGCACCATATGCACAAGTTCTTTGGTTGTCTATGCCTGTTTATTCCTCCTTCTTGCCCTTTCCGTTGTCACTCTCTACTCGAACTTACATTAGGAGGAGACACCACGTACACAGTCCTATGCTTCCACTCTGATAATGTGTGCCCTTAACATTCCCCTGCTGGAGCAGTCTTCGTTCCTTCCTTGGGTCCGGCACCACTACCAGCCTTACCACCACCAGCACCAGGTGATGCCATGCGCCGGGACTGCGTCTTCGTTGCCGTCTTCGTTTTCGCTGGTTTCGACTTCGCTACTGGTTTGGCAGCCGTGGAGGGCTTGCCGTGGACCGGCCGCGTTGGTCGACGCGTTTGCTCGGAGAGACAATCTCTCCTCGTTCTTACACTCGGACAATCCTGCGTCGAATCCTTTTTACACGCGGCCGCGTTGCTCGGCGCGTTTGCTCGGAGAGATAATCTCCTCCTTCTTACACTCGGCACAATGCTTACTCGGCTACTTCGTCGAATCCGTCTTACACTCGCACCGACCGTGTGCTCGGACACAATGCTTACTAGGACGCGGCAACGACGGCAGGACGCAGAAGGACGAATTGATGTGGTTGTTATACTGCGGTTTTTTTGTGTACGCACACAGGCACAGTGTGTGAAGGCGTTTAGTGGAGAACGCGGCGTGTTGTTGTTACGGGGTGTATATTCATGACGTGGTGTAGCGTTTTTTCTATTTTTTTCTTCTATGTCTTTTTTTCTGTTTATTTTTCTCTTTCTCTGTTTTGTCTACTTTACTTGGGCAGATTGTTCATGTGTGGACGAGAGAGAGAGCGTCTTCTCTGTATTGTGTAGATGATGTTGTTGTGCATTTGTAGGGATATGTTGTTTTGCTTTTCTTCTTTTTCGTCTTTTCGTCTGGGTCGCGTAGAACTGGTTCCCAGGACCTCTTGGCGCAGTACCCTGGGCACATGTATATATATTTCTTTTCGTAATATATTGTTCAAAGGGAGAATTTATGAAGGCACGGAGGAGGGCAGGATATATGGGTTCTATGTTGCATAGCTTGTTTTCCGTTCACTTGGTTCTGTTCTTTTTTTTCCTTTTTTTTTCTCTTTATTTTTGTACTCCTTTTTGGTTCTGTGCATATAATTGTTTCCTAAACCATATCAGAATAGTTCATACAGCTCTGGGCCGTGCAATTCTGTACTGCGCATTTTCCTTATATAAATTATATGTGTGATCGCATTTTCCCCACTCATATAGTAATAAGAATATTCATTAGGCCGAAGTGTGTATAGCTTGAGGACGGAATATTAATAATGTGCATAATATTCTCACAGAGCATTAGTATCCTGTATTATGTGACGTAAGGCATCATGGCAGGGCATCTGGTGCATGTACTGGCCGACTGGGCCATAAAGAGGGGACTATGGAAACAGGAACAGCTTGATGTAAGTATTAACTCAGCACAAGGAAATGCAAGACACAGCTAAGACGGGTGGCGGAACATAGTGTTGGTACATATATATGCGCTAAAACATACGGAACGGCAGGTAGAGTCCTATAGAGTTTACATATTGTTATACATTAATCATTTTCTCTATGTATGTATTTCGTAGAGTGCATTATGGGCAGATATGGAAAATGTATTAAAGGATTTTGTGGACCACATGGAAAACATCGCACAACACATAGATTCGTATGCGGTGAGCTGTGCGGACGCAGGTTGGGGACGTAGAGGAGACACGCATAAGGGACACTTGTACACCGATCATTCAGTTGCGGACGTAATGAAATGCAGACTGATGGTTGCAGCATTATATTTTGTAACTGGGTGGAGCAATCACATGACACATGATAAGGACCCATCGGAAAATGATAAGGACATGAAGGCTATTATGAGGTGCATGGTGGCCAATGTTTTTGCGTATATATTGGCTGCAATAAAGTGTGGATTTCAGTGGCCTGGAGTAGACAGAGCATGGACCATAATGAAGGAGCTTGTGGGCAGTAGTGGAGACCCGTCTAATCCAATTTCAAGAGGAACATGTACGCTGGATGTGTATAAGGATACTAACATAGGCACAGGGGATTTACAGGGGGCGATACAGAACTGGTTAAAGACACGTTCATATATACGCGATAGTATAACACAAATAGAGAAGAACCCAAAGTGTAAAATGCAGTGGGAAATGTACAAGAAAAGTTTTGAGGCAAGAGGGGAAGATGCAGACCTTTCCAGTATATTTCAGCAGGACGATATGAACACCTTAGTGAAAACGCAGGTAACAAAAATGTTTAGGACAATTACCAACACAGTAAGAAAAAAGGTTGACAAGGCACGAAATAACACACGCAGCTCCGGCGGCGTCGGGGATAGTGATGTTGAATCTGAGGACGAGGAAGAGGAAGAGCCGAAGAAATCGACAATTCCAAAGGAAAGTCAACTCAATGGCAAATCCCGCGCCACAAAACCGGCAGTACCAACAACAGGAGGGGCACAACAGGACAGCAAGAAGGACACAAGAAGTGATGAGGACAACACGCATGGTAAGGTTACCAATACACATAGAGATATGCGCACGCATATCCATAACACGGAATACAAATACGGCCGAATACGGATGGCACGGCCCGTACCGGACCAATATGGATGCCACAACAACAACGCACATGCGGCGGCCACAACAGCACAGCAAACGACGTCGCTGACGCTGACCGACTGCGATGAGCGGTGTCCACGACGGCAGCGGTAGCGGTGACAAGGCACAGGACGAGGCACAGGACGGCGGACGAGATGACGGCAACAACATAAAAGTTGTACTGCTATCACCTCCGTCCACCGAGTACGCAGTCCACCTGACCGTACGCTTGCTGCCGCCTGACCCAGTCCACCGAGTACGCAGTCCACGGGGTGGACTCTGCCGCTTCCTGACCCCACCGTCCCGGCCCCTTCTTTCTGTACCACGTGTGTCCGTTTTTGTATCATTTTGTCGTTTTTCTTCCTTTCTTCATTTTGCAGGTGCAGCAGGAGCAGGCGGGGACGGAAAAGGACCGGGTCAGGGACCTGGACCTGGACAACAACCCCCACCTGCACCACCAGAACAGACACAAGCGGATGGGAAAGCGCAAGATTTGCATGACGCTACAGCTACAGGAGCCACAGGGACAGAAGGTAAGGAGCTAACGCGCCATAGGCCAGGGCCAAGCACAAAGCGGGGACCCCAAGGGAGCCCAGAGAACTGTGAGGACAGGGGGCCCGACCAGGAGGAAGTTTACAAGTGTATATTGAGGACCATGCCCGAGCAAGTGAATCAGGTGGACGATTCCAAGGAATACGGCCCCGGCGTCTGGGTGCTTCCTGAAAGTGCCCGCTCCATTGAAGTGTCCAAAGGGGCTTCACCTGACGCACCTTCAGTACCCACAGGTACGAATAATGACCAGTCAGGAAAGGACGATAGAACAAAAAGAAAAAAAAAAAAAACGAAACAACAATTTCCGGAGAGACAGGGAGAGACAACACGGAGCGAGAGAAACCACGCAGCGAGAGAAACCAAACGTCGAATGAAAATGGCGGGGCAATGAGCGACGGGGCGACCGGGGAGAGCGGCCGCGGGATGTAGACGTCGACAGACAGACACACACACACAGTGTTGTGTGTGTGTTGTGGGAGAGAGAGAGTCTTTTCCCGGGTGGCAAGTGCCCCTTCTGCCCCCGTTCGTCTCCTACCACGCCGTCTCCCCGTGCCATGCCGTGCCGTCTCCGTGGCACCATGTGGCCGACGGTTTGCCTGATCGTGTGACCAACCATGTAACCGCGCGTCGTCCACCAACTCACAAAATGTTACTTGCATCATTTTCACTTCTCTTCCTGTTTTAACTCTTTAGGTAAGGAGAATGTATCAAAAGCGGATGAGAAGACTACTGTGGAGAACACACCTCCAACAGGCCCAGATCCCGTGCAGC